GTACGTTTAGAATTTATTTTGCTAAAATTGCCAATTATTTTAAGGGCATTAGTCACATATGACCGTGTACAAATAGAAATTGTATAATTATATCCTTTTAAATTTTATTTACAGCGATTACGGATTTCCTTAAAAAAATCTTTAATAATTAGGAATCCTTATTTTATATTATTTTCTTTTAATTTGTATTTTTTATTATTTATTTGCTATTAAATAACTTTCTATCGCGCTTTAACTATCACCATATACAGTACATCACTCAATAATTTTTTGCAATAAAAATATCGTTTAATTTCTGAGGAAGTAAGATACGAAGACCAATTTACAAAATTTAAAAAAACTCAAATCGAATTCCAATTCTTTCTTAAAAGGATCAATTAATTGAGTCTGTGGTCTAGATCAAATACTATTATTGAAAGGAAGGATCTACCATCAAAGTACAGCAATAATATTTTTGGAGCCAGACATTGCAAAAACGAAATGAATTTATTCAAGCTAATCGTCTAAGTAAAGTTTTATGATTTCCAAGATTTTTGGCCTAGGATTTCCTTTTTACCTTTTATTATTTTATACTAAATTTGCTTGAATTGTCAGTTTATGGGCCAATCTTTTGGATCCAATACTAGTGACAGCTTCTGGGGAGGTTTATATTGGCTGATAATTACTAAGCCAACTGAACTCCAGTTTCTCGGACTGGGTAAAGTTCAAGATTTTATTAATATTTCTTTATTATAGATCAAAGAATTAAATAAGCATTTGAAAAATTACCACAAGAAAAACCTCAACAGGGACGATTATTACGTTACGTTCACAAGTAGCTGAAGAATAGGCATTGGTGAAGGTATTGTTCTGTAAATTATGAAGCATCTTGTTTAAATTTATCTTTATAATATTTTGTAATTTATATATAGGTGATGTAGCTGAAGTAGAAGACTGATGCATATTATTTAGTAGAACCAGTCGATATTCTGTAAAAATTGTCCAAAGCATTTTAAATTAGATTGGTAGGAGAAATTAATTTTAATAACAGATTCTTGAAATAACATCATATAATTGGAAAGATCTCTGGAAATTAGTAAGACTTCGAGGATTGTGAATAACTATTGACTGCTTGCATTGTAAAAGTTTGAGAATATTTTGTAAAAATTAAAATCATGTAGTGAGAAAGTTTACTTATGTGTTACTTTAAAATTATAGCGTATGTCGGATTCCAATGCTTTATTAGTTACAATCGCAGCTATTGTTGGTCTTGGGTTTACATGAAGCTTTTGCAAAATATTAACAAACGGTAGTTAATCATGTCAACTTATTATTTGTTTATATTCAATCCTTTATTAAGCTATTATTATTTTTTTATAGTCCGTATACCCATGATTGTAAACTCTTAAAGAAAAAAACAAAAGTGTGTTGATGCTTTGACTTAGACATTGGATGAAGTGTTATTTATATCGGGTCATTCTGACTTTACAATTATTAATCTAATTAATAATTGAGTTACAATATTTGAGGACATATTGGCGGCCGGAACACAAGAACCCACTAATTAACCAAGAGCCCATGAAATGGCTTGTCAGATAAAAAAATATTAAAACTGCATCATAAAAGGCAGAAATCTAATCTTTACCTGAAATAATGGTGAAAGCTTCTGACGACAATTTTGAACCTGTCTTTAATCAGCTTTTGAAGGTTTGGAAACAAGGGTGAAAGTCATTGGTGAGAAGGCTTTCTTGGAGATATAAAAAAGAGAAAAGTCAAAAAATGTTATGAAAAGGCCGAAGTTAAAGTAATATTTCAAACATCCACATCCAGAAAAGCAGATGCACCTAAAGGGATAAACTGTGGCAAAAAATGAAGCTGTGCGTCGTATTTCGGAGTAGTTAATTTATTCTTTGATATATTTTTATAGTATAGTTCAACTCATTTTGCCTTTTTTTAAAAGGATATGTTAATCCGTCCCAGTTGTAAAGCCAGGAAGTCCTTAAAAAAGCTTCTACCAATGCTGTTGCTCCATTTTTCCAAAAGAGTGGAAAGAAGTTATCATATACAAGTTTACTAGCGAAATTGTTGTGTCCAAGTTTGCTGAATTTGATTTCCGAAAATCAGACTGCCGGTTCGTGAAAAGAATCGGTTATTTTAGTAATTTGGACTATGCTGAATTTTTACTATTTATATTAGCCATTGAGAAGTTGGTTCCGTTTGAATTATCACGTTCTTTCTATTAAACTTGGATGTGTAATACGTGTTAAAGATTTCATCAAAAGAATTTAATATAATGGAGATAATTTGTCAAAAGGCCCCATCATTTAGAAAATCAACGGCATGATCAATACCAAGTAAGATCGTTTATTTTATTATTTACAACTTTTTTTTTTAAAATATAATATCTTGTTTATAAGATTGATTGTTACTTTAGTATAAAATTTACAGGTTGTCACACATGGTTCGACCAATTTAACTTGCAACAAGTTCGAAATGATGAAGTTAGAAAAGTAGCATAATCGGATATAATAGCAAAATTTGAGTATTTGAAAGGTGCAGTAAATAGCCGTTTGACTAAACAAGCCCTAGTAGCATGGATTGAGAAAAGATCGACTTAGTGCACCATCAGGCAAGAATAAAGCTGATGCAAGATGAATAAAGAGCTAACGAAATTGCCACAAGGATTAATTCATAGACCACCAGCTAATCCAATATTTAATAAACCAAATGCAACATTATCAAATCCATTAGCCACAGAAAATCCTAATGCATCGAAATACCTACAAATGGACAACTTTATTAGCAGTACAGCTTATAGGCTTTAGTCTGAGATGGCATTTCAAGTGATATTGGTACTTTCGTCAAGATTATAGTTTTCTCGATTTTGTTCTATTATGAATGGTGCTAACAACATCTAATAGTTCCATCATAAGAAAGATTTATGAAGTTTGAAAGTTGATAATTTAGGACATTTCTTATCTTATACACAGCTACCACGATCACAGAGTTTGATTCGACTATGTAAACATCTTGTTTACAATTATTTTTAAATTTGGCACTAGCAGCGTCTCAAGCTGAGATAGCAAATAGTTTGTTATATCCTAATCTCACAGTATTGGATGGTGGTCAAAATACTTGAAAATAGAAATCATAGCAGGACATATAAGTGAGTGAGATAATTTTCCTATTTAATCATTACTCTTTATATCTTCATTTTTTTTAGTTAACTAATTAACACCATATGGGAGTGTTTCTAGGAAAATCAGGTTCCGAGAAATTTTTGACTAAAATTAAGAGCTTAATACATTTTAATCTAATAACATCAAAAACTAAAATGCAATAAAAATCTCAATTTCGCTAAAAAATTCCCGGAACCTGATTTTCCTAGCAATCAACCCATATACAGTTTATGCTATATAGATGTTGGTGTCACTTTATAAAGTGGAAGCTATGGCCATTCCAAAAAAGGAAGGAATAGGTATAAATTTGGTTAGCTTCATGCAGGAACTATAGGGGCCGTTTTTATTGATATTGATATATTAATATCAATATCAATTTCAATATCATTCAATAACTTCGCCGCGATGACGAAACGGTCGAAGGTTCCTAGCCTAAGTAGAGGAACCTAAATAAAAAAAATAATGAAGATAAAATATTAAAATTAATATCTTTATTACCTTCGCGGCGGTGACAAACCGGATGGTTCCGTTCAAAGTTCTATCCTATTCTTGGCCTAAGAGAGGAAACTGATCTAACCTAAAATAAAAAAAAATAAAAAAAAATAAAAAAAATTATTAATGACAAAAATCGCCCATTAAAAAACTAAACAAAAAATTTTAATTTTTTTAAAAATATGAAACGAAAAAGCGAAATAAAAAACTAAACAAAGCGAAACTAAAAAATAAAAATATAATAAAAAAATGAAACTAAACGAACGAAAAAGTTAAAGAAAAAGAAATGAAAAAAAAATATGAAATGAAAAAATCAAAAATAAAATAAAGGAAAGCAAAATAAAATAAGAGATATAAAAACAAAAAATAAAAAAAATTTAAAACGAAATAAGATATTAAAAATATATATATATATAAATAGGACTAGGAAAGGGAAAAAATAAAAAAAAAATAAAAAAATAAATTAAACCCGGAGTTTAAAAAATATATATATATATAAAAATAAAACAAAATAATAAAATAAAACAAAACTAATAAAAATAAAATGAAATGAAAATTATAAAAAAAATAAAAACGAAATAAAAAAACGAAATAAAAATAAAATCGAAAAACATGAAGATATTAAAAATATATATATAAATTAAAAAGACCGGGTCGACCCGGGTGACCCGGATGATCAGGCGCGCTAGACTTTTTTTTTGTTTTACGTTACGCGACTTTAATTTGTAACAAATAAATAATAAGTAAACCTATCGACGTTACAGTACAACTTTTTCTAGAAAATGAAATCATTGCGGAGTGAACAATTACAAGTAAAATAAAAAAAAAATTATTAAACATAACACATTTTTTTATAAAGCAACAAGTGTTCCAGTCGAGTTTTTCTGGCGAAACCGATCTGATATCAACCAAAAGATGTGCTCTTAAAGCTAATACAATTTGCCTGTATGTGCTTGAAATTCTGGTGGAAAAAAAGGAATTAGGAGTAATGCTCACAAAAAAAAAAAAATAATTTTAAAAATAAAATAAACTTTATATGTTATTATTTTATTTTCGGCATTAATATTATCCTTGAAAATTCGAGTCGAATCCGGGTTAAATCGGGTCGAGTCGAATTCGGGTTCTGTAATTATTAACGGGATCGAGTTCGAATATGCCTTAAACCCGACCCGACCCGACCCGACCCTTACGGAGCACTAGTCGCGATAGCGACCCCGGGACATCGCTCGGGTAGGATTGCTAGTAAAAACAAATCAATAAAAAAGAATTTTAGTCAGCGTAGCTTTGCCGCGGTGACAAACCGAATCGTTCCAACCTATATACTAACAAATTAAATAAAATAAATGTGTTTCTTTCAAATATTAAGGCCGGCCTCTGGCCGGCCTTAACCATGAATCTAGTTTTCTTAAGAGGATACATTCTTATAATCTGAAACTGGCTCTAATCCCAATTTTTTTTATAAAAACATTTGAAAAAATAACTTGCGTTTTTATTCCATTTAATAAGAGTTTAAAAAAAAATTTTTAATTCAAATGTACAAATCCAAAATGTATAAAAGTTGTATGAAGATCTTACTTCATACTCGGATAACTTTCATATAATGTTTTGCGTCATCAGTTGGTGTAAGTGCTTTTTTAAAAAATATATTTATATATTTGTTTATTCTTAACGATATTGCAAAGAGTCTCCAGGATAAGTTTGCTTTTTTGATAAATATACTGTTTAAATAACTTTTTTCAGTTGCACACTTGAATAAGTATTTTCGTCATTTTTTTTTTTTTTTCAAAGTTTAATTCTCCTGTTAATGGTTGATAGGAAAAAAAGCAAATCAATATTAGTCATTTTACCAAATCCGTTAGGATATACTTCGTCTCTGTTTTTTACTACGGAAACGATTTGTATTTTAAATCTAATAGGTAGGTAATTTTTTTTTGAATTTTTCTAATTGA